ACTCTCTGGGTTCTATCCTGCAGCCAGTTTCTCACCCACCTCACGGTCTTGGAGTTCAGCCCATTATCCTCCAATTTTCTCACAAGGACATCGTAGGATACTAGATCAAACGCCTTTTGGAAGTCAAGATATACAGCGTCCAGGTGGCAAGTTACTATTTAATTACTTAGTTCTGGAAGGGCCTAAACTCCAGCCATAAAGCCTTAGCATAACTCAGTTCACTTGCTACAGTGCCTCCTTGGTGTATAGTACAAAACAAAGATATCTTCTTTCTAGCTGATTTCACAAAAAAATTGCTTATTTGCAAAAGAATAGTAAGATTAACCAGTTCTTTGCCCAATTTACAAAGGGAGCAGATTTTATTGGACACAGATTCCTTTGCTTCATCCTTTCCAACCTACCCTTAGTCAATTCTTATCTGAATTTCTTTGCCTACTCAGTCACTCCACTTATGCTTCCTTGCCCCATATATTCTATTTCTACTTCCGGCCTCAGCCTTCTTGCCCATTCGTAGTTTTCCTCTCCCCTCATTCAGTTGTCTGTCCACACACATTTCCAGTCCTCACAAGCTCCCTGTTTCTATCTTACTTTCCTTTCTTTCATAGTTCCCCATATACCCACCTACTTTTTCCAGTCTTTTTTGCCTCCACACTCCCTCTTCCCCACTGGTTTTTTTTGTCAGCAAGTGCTACACTCCTTCTACAACTGCTCATTTCTCCCTTCCTAATTTTCATTCCTGGCTCATAGTCTGTCCTGCACCCTAAGTACTGGTCCCTAGCATTGTCCACTACTCATTGCACTTAGCACCAGCTCTTCTGATTTCTTTCAAGAGTTCCAGTGAATTGTCTTTTTCTGTTTCTGCTTTATTTTATGCAGTTTCTTATCTTTTATAGGGAATGACATGACAATTAAGTCTACATAGGCTTGCACCTCTGTCTCAAATTTATTTTCTGGTTTCATAGCAGGGTACATACATGACTTTAGAGAGGGCATACAGTAAACACATTTATGCAGTAAACATAAATTTGGTGTGTAGGTGACAACAGAAGTATACTTTTGCAGCTTCAGGATCAGTCTTTGAATCCTCAAAGTACAATCATTTAATGGCTTGTTAAACAATGCTTTGATGGGGTTGTGCTTTCTTTTCACATGCACAGTCTGACCACAGACATATTGGTGACAATTCTCACAGGCAAATAATATTCCTAGTAACTCCCATTCAGTCTGTGCATAGCTGGTTTCTGCCTCTGCATTTATTTGGATCTATGGACCACTAGTCTACATAATTTTCCAAAAAAATTGTTAAAAAATTGCACCAACCCCCACATGTGATTCATATCCTAAATTTTTTATAGGTTTTCCAGGAGTATAAAATTTTAACATGGTCCCTTGTATCAGCTCCTTTTTCAAGGCGACCTATGATTCTTTCTGTTCTGCATTCCAGTACCATTTGTATTTATTCTCAAAGAGTGTCCTCAATGGTGTTGTTTTTTGCTGATAAATTAGGTATAAATTTGCCCAGATAATTACCTTTTCCAGAAAACATTGCACTTCTTTCTTTAACTGGGGACTTGGTATCATTTCATTAGTCTGAACTTTTGTTGCGTCAGATTTCATCCTTTCAGTGGAGATGATATTCCCTATAAAAATAAGTTCTGTGTGATGCCCAGCATGCCCTTCACTATTCAGTTTCAGATTTGCATTTCAGCACTTCCTGAAGTCTGTGATCATGTTCTTCTTTGCTAGGGCCCCAGATGATAATATCATCTATGGAGGTGTCCACATCAAGAATATGCTCATAAATCATGCATATGATTTTATGATACACTTCAGGAGTGGACACAATACCAAAGAATAGGCGCAGAAATCTGTACCTTCCAAATGGAGTATTAAATGCGTATAATTTAGATCTTCAGCTGCCAAAATCCTCAGGAGACATCCATTTTACTGAAAAATCATGCATCATTTGTGAATTGGCGATAATCTCTTCTCTAGCTGGCAATTTTAAATGTTCCCATTTGATAGCCTTGTTGAAGTGCCTCAGATCCAAGCATATATACAAATGGTCACTATTTTGCTCCACAATAACTACAGCTCTTACCCATTTTGTAGGTTCCTAGATTTTCTATATCTCTTGACCTTTTTTCAGTTTTTTCTAACTCTACCTTAAATCTATCATGGAGAGCAAAAGGCACATTTCTGCATGAATGAATAGTGGGAAGCACTTGCTTATTTATCTGAAGTACATGTTCACATGACAGGCAATCTAGCCCTTAAAATAAATCCTTGTACTTTAACATGAGTGTCTCATATTCCAGGCCTGTGTCTTCTGGTAGTGCAAGAACACACTCTATTTGATTAAATTTTTCACAAGCTGCCAGACCCAAAATTGGTGTCACCTATCTTGGATACTACAATGAAGTAGAGTTTATATGCTATACGTTTATGTTGGATGCTAGAAACGCATCTCCTTTTAAGTGGTGTATTGTTCCTGAATGGCCAGTTATTTTTCGCATTTATTCAATTCATTTTTATTTAAATTTTAATTTTTTATATTCATGTTCTCATAAAACATTAACCTGAGCTTCAGTGTCTAATTCCTCTCACTCCCTGGCAAAATCCAATCCTTTTAATTGGTTTTTGCTTTAGTCCACCATATCTATGTATAAACTTCTTTGGTATATTATCAACTGTTTAAACTTGAGGGTTATATTGTTTGGGATCTACGTTATTTGACAACATATTCTTTTTGTCGAAGTTATAACAGACTGTAGCAGGTAAGGCCTTGGGGTGGCCAAGTCACTACATGGCAGCCATCTGGATCCCCCCTTACCTCTGGACTTTCAGGGTCCCACCCTGTTGTCTTACCTGCCATGCTTTGATGTTAGAATTGGACTGGAAGGCTACCACTAGAGGTCCGGGGGTGGTTCAACTTCAGGTCTTAGAACCTTGTCTGGGTTGATGCCTGTTGGCCTGGGCCCAGTTTACTCTGGCTGAACCCTCTGCCCAAGGTCCACTGTCCCAGGATCCTGGGCTCCTGAGTCCCAGCTCCAGCCTCACCCCTCATGGGCTCATAGCCCCTCAGCTCAGAAACTAGGGAATGACTGGCTAGGCTGTGGTATTGCAGAGAAGAATCTGAGGGTCACAGTGGACAATAAGTTGAATATGAGCCAACAGTGTGCTCTTTTTGAAAAAAGAAGCCAATAGCATCCTTGGTTGTAATAATAGGAGTGTCACTTGCAAATCAAAGGAAGTGATAGTTCCACTCTATTCAATTCAACACCGGTGAGGCCTCACTTGGAGCACAGTATCTGGTTTTGGGCCCCACCCTTCAAGAAGGATGTGTTCAGTTTGGAAAAAGTCTGCCACAGAAAGCAATAAAAAATATTAGTTTTTGAATACTTGAAAGTTTATTACGAAGAGGATGGATCTTACATTTTCTGTGTGGCTGTAGGAGACAGCACTAGGAACAATGGATTCAGCCTGCATCAGGGGAACTTTAAGTTGGAGACTAGGAAGAACTTTCTTACTAGGAGATCAGTTGAACATTGGAACAGACTACCCAGAGAAGTCATGGGATCTCCACCTTTGGAAATTTTCAAGAGCAAGTTAGATAAACAGTTGACTGGGATTGTATAATCAGGGATGAGCCTGCCTTGAGCATGGGGCTGAACCACATGACATTATAAGGTCCCTTCCAGCCCTACTTTTTGCTGAAACTAAGGAATTGAGAAACGATATTTATAATGGAAAGTGCTGGATAATATTCATAATATGTGGTGTTACCAGCTCTTTCCATTCGTGTTAGTTAAATAAAGTAATATATTTACATCAAAGGAAGCAGGAAATAGACCAAATTGTATATGCTATTAATTTGCCTAATTCTATCCTATTAAATCATCCTTGGTCTTTCTCAGGTTTTTGAAACAAGACCATTTAAAATTGAATTTTGAATTTATAGTTCTGAAAAGGACAGCACCAAGGCTTCCAGAACTTCTTTAAAGACAAATAAGCCTGAATCAATGCAAAGGTCCATGATATTAATTAGCATGATGAATAAGCTATTTCTTCTGACTAATATGATGCTGCTATTTCTGCTACAGCAACATATTTGCTATGGATTCTGCAACATATTTACCAGTTTATATATTCAAACATATTAATTCTGCTTTGGGGAAAAATACTGGGCCAGTCAATAATGGAGTAGAGGAAGGGTTTATCTAGTCTTCTACAACAATTCTTATACAATAAGAAGAAAAAAAATAAGACTATGTTTTTGTCAGAAAATAAATTCTGCAAAAAGTTCTGCAGCTGAAAACTGTTTCCTTTTATACATTATTTGTCAACCGTGAGCAAGTGAAGTCAGATGGCCATGAGAAAACGTAGTGATTGCAATGAAAACTGAATACCTGGGGGTTACTATTTTATTTTTACTATTTATACACTGGTCTAAGATATGTCTCTCTTCATTTCAAGGTAACTGAGCTGCACAATATAAAAAACATAACCAGACTGCCTCGAGAGACAAAAAAACACGCAGTGGCAATTATCTTTCATGATGAGACATCAAAGACATTTGCCTGTGAGTCAGGTAAGCAATTACTACCACATCTCTAGATTGAGAAAATTGAGTTGCATGTAAAACTGTGGTTCAGATGGATTAAGATACAGCACCAAATAAGAAGTCTTGTCATAAAGGGCATAAATATTTTTCACATATATTTGAATTGCTTATTTTGTAATACAGTTGTTTCTGCGGTATTATGTCTTTGTCAGGGTTTTCACCCCCAGATGGTCTGAAGACTTTAGGTTTTCAACTAAGCTTCTAAAACTGAGTAACAATACCTATGTGATGTTTTTAAGGCAAGCAGTGATGTGAATTCTTTTTAACCAAGTGTTGCCGTAGGCACTGGTTAGGGTAGTGATAATGCTACCATTGTACGAGAAGCAAAGAACAGCTAAAATCCCAGGATATTTTAAAGGTGAACTTAAAACAATTTGTGGCTCAAACCGATACACAGCAAAATAAATAAGTAAGGACCCAAGTGTATCCAGGCACTCTGGTACATAAAACGGCTTGTCATTTGTGATACCCTGAATGCTTTGTATTATTAAAGTACATTAATTTTACATTAGAATATCTATAGAAGCATACAATCTAAATTAGATATAACATAGCAAAGAAACAACGTTGGGAGGATGCAGTGGTGAAAGATCAGATATAGACATTTAGGTGCAAATCTCACATACGTGCTTGCTGAGTCGTCTCATTAAGGATACTAGAAATGAAATGGATAAACTTACAAAGAGAAAGCTTTCCAGGTAAAATAACAAATAACACCTCCCCATGCCTTTTTTTGGCTTTGGTTCTTATGGGTAATCTGAAGTACTGACCCATAAGGGTATGGAGGCAGTATGCATTAATGACTCTACTTATTTTAATTTATTTAGAGTTAAATGAATAATAAAGTATGCAAAATATAAGAAATACTGTATTGGCTCAGACTATAGCTCCATCTATATCCTGCATTTAACAGTTACACAGAGCAGATGCTCAGGGAAAGAAGAATTATGCAAGGTCTATCTGTCTTTGCCCCTCTTTCCTTACAGCTTCCAGAATTTGGAGGCCAAGGAAGTCCTACTTTGAAGGTCTCAGGCCTATCATGTTCAATGTTTACTAAGGATGCCAGTCTCATCTTAGTCTCATCTGAGCTGACCTTCAGTAGTTTGTGCTCATTCATGTCCTGACTTCATCTGGATACTAGCTAAGATGCTGAATTGCATCCTGTCAGTCAGACAAGACTGAGACATAGGTAGGTGTTGTCAACATCCCAAATATGGGAAATCCTCCAACTCCTAAATAACCTTTTCAGTTGTCCTACCTATGTATTGAACAGGTGGAATATAATTTTCACTGAGTTCATTGCACATTTTTGCTTCCATTAATTTGTGAGGTAAGATCAGCAAGATGGATCCCTTGCATAGCAAGAAGAAAGAAGTCCTAACTTGAATGTGTAGTAGATAAGGGTTGATCCCTAACACAAAAGAACCACAGTCTTAAAAATGAAACCATAGGCTGTGTATAGACAAAATGTGAGGTGTGTGTGCATGACGCTTTAAAGCGGGCTAAATGCTTTTGTGCCGCTTTAATGGTGTCGGTGTTTGTACGCCTCAGTGGTGTATTGCACATTAATTCTAGTCTCTGTAGGAAATTCGGCAGTGTAATGCACCTTAAATGACTCGGGGAACAGCAAACTTAAACTTCTTCAAAGCGTTTTAGTTTGCTGTCCCTACAGCCATGGAGCAAAGCACCGAGCTCCGTACAGC